CTCAGTCTCTCTCTCTCTCTTTCTCTCTCTCTCTCTCTGTCACTCTCTCTCTCTCTCACACACACACACACACACTCATGCTCACCAGTAATGGGACTTGAACTTAGAGCCTAGGCACTGTCTCTTAACTTTTTCTACTCAAGCTTAGGACTCTACAACTTGAACCACAGTGTCATTTCTGACTTTCTGTTTGTTAACTGGAGATTTAAAATAATAATAATAAAAAAAAGAGTCTCAAGGTTGCCTTTCTGGGCTGCTACCAATGGCAATCCTCACATCTCAGTCTCCTGGTGATCTGGGACTACAGGCATGGGCCACTGGTAGCCAACTGATAGTTATCAATATTAATAAAGGATGGGACCATATTTGATATTTGAAAATATGATTTGGTTGTATTTGGAAAAGGGTAAAAGGAAGTAGAAGAATGTCCTGACTAGGGTTATTAATCCTTATTTTAAGTCTACAACCTCCCAGTGGTTTAGGGAATTTGTGCAAATCTTGCTATTTTCTTAATAGGTTTGCACAGCAAAGCCTACCTATTTTTGTACTTCTTGTGAACATGTGCATCATCCTTAAATGGGACATAGAGCTCCAACACATGGCTCTTGCTCTCGGTAAGGACTGCTTTATGTTTTCTCAATTTGGCTCTTGGGGGTTTGAAGCTAGGAAACATTCTATTCTTGCTAATGGCACATGATTAATCTTCAAGCAATCTGTTTTAACTTGAAACTCCAATGATTAATTTTTTCAGCTTCTTTTGAAGAGGTTCAGATTAAAAGAAACTGAAGAGTAGCTTGTGTGGCAATTTCAGGTCTTAAAATATCCCAATTTCTACATTTATCGTAAGTTAAAAAGTCCAAGGATAGAGGGATCACTCAGTGGGCTAAGTACTTGTTAGACATGTATAAAGCCATGGGCTCATTCTCCAGTACCAAAAGTGAGGAAGGAATTTTATAGATAAATGAATAACACAAATACCATATTTAAAGCAAGTTCTCAGAAGAGAACGTGAATATTTGACTATTCTAAACTATCAAATACCATAAATTTGCCTTAAACTTTATAAAAATCTACTTTTACAGAGCAGATAGTTTTCACAAAAACCCAGTTAAGACATAGTTGTGAGGTCAACTGTAAAAGAGGAAACCAGAAGTCAAACACACTGCATAGATCTAAATCTATGTGGGTAGGCCAGATTATACCAATTCAGTCTGCATTCTGAAACAAAGTGCCTTAGTATTTCAGAAGTCCTTTACTGTTTGTTGACTGACTTATTTTTGGTGCTGAACCTGCACCAGTATGATCTGTGTGTGATCATTAAATTTTTTTAACTGAGACCTGAAGCACTACGATAGTCCTGGCTTCCTGACATGGCTATAGAGTACACACACAGCCACAGCATTTTAACTGACTGGAACATCTATCTGTTGCCCTCTCTGGTTGTTCTGGGTCCTCGTCCACAATAGACTCTGTTTCAGTGGCAGTGCTCAGTAATTAATCTTCAATTACTACCAAAGTAGTGCAAAATTTAATCCTGTATCTCATCTAAGATGCTTTGCCGCTTGAACCACCCACTCCGTAGGCCTAATTCTTTGCCTTTTCTATACTGGACCTTCAATTAAGCTCTAAATTCACAATTCTATGTGTGTAGTCATTTGCTCCTGAACCTCTAAACTTTCTGAATATCAGTGAAAGCACGATCTTCTTCCCTTATCTTTACAGAGAGCTAAAGTTTTGTTGTCACACTCACTAGTGAGTTGGGATAAGTCCTACACCTTTTCTTGGTAAGAGGGTCAATGATTTGAGTATATGAAATTCTGAGACATTTTAATAATGATGACAATGTGAGACAAGTATAATAACTTTTGAAGGGCAAATAACCACAAAATATATAGAAAACCTTTTAATTGGGGATCTTTCTTGATTTTTGGAACTGTTCAATTCATAAAGCTGCAACTGGAATAAAAATTGCATACAGGGATATACTTAGGTAATAGCAAATCAGCAGAATCCAGTGTCAGTGTAAGTACAGATCTGTTGATGCTTAGCAACCCTAAGCATATTCCTAATCACTAACCCATTTTTTTTGGTGGTATGAATAGTCTTGAGCTTCTTGTCACTAAATATCTAAAGTGCAGGTTTCTAAATCTAGTTTGTTCCCTAATATATGGCCACTGAATTGTCTTGTCATAGCTAAAACTGAAATCTATAATTTGTAGTCAGTCTTAAAGCCAAAGGGGGAATTTGTGCAAGCTGCATTTAATTCTTGATGCAGTCATTTATTTTTTCCTTGCTAGCTGCTCATTGTTACAAGTCAGTTTTATTAATAGGTGGTATTATAAGGCATGCTACAAACATACTCAGTAACATGAAAAATATGTAAGTTTAAACCTGAACTCTGGTATTGCCCTATTAACTCTGAGACTCTGGACAACTGAAGAGCCTAATCTTCAGGCAGAATTGGGTAGCATTCTAAGAATATAAATGTCTAATATAATTATTGTAGCAATTGTCTGATTTAGAGTATGTATACCGCCATTCTGTTTTCTTTCTATGGAATGTATCTTGAATTTGGTATAGAAATGATTACCTAATTTGTTAAGTTCTCAAAAGTGTAACCTCTTATCCCAGAGCTAAATTTGGTATTTATATCTGACATTTAATGAAGTACCACCTACTTCAAATCACCTAATCTGATGGCACATAATACAAAAACATCACATACTTTCAAAAACACATAAGGATCCCTATTAAGTATAAATGTGTAGGTGCATGTAGATGTGTGAATTAACACAATATAGAAACAACTTAAGGTAAACTAAACACATCTTTGAGACAATCATAGCTCACAAATATTAGTTTGAAGCCTTCTTTTAGATGTGAGTATAATACAGAAGGTTGGTTCTCTACACAGGTCTAATGTTCACAAACAATGGTACTCAACTTATTTCTACTTTGTAAATATAGACTCAAAGAGTTTTTAGACATTGCTAGGCTCACAAAATGTTTCTCACATTTTCTTATGTCTACATTACTGACAGAAAAAGCAGATATGAATCATTTGGTAACAATGATTTTCAAGTTAGACTGATCATTTTCTTTCTTCTCTCCCCAGCCACAACTATAAGAGATATGTTATACTCCTATGACATCCTGTAACACACACCTGAAGTCTTCTTCACAGAAATTACACAGTTAGGTCACACATCTTATTTTCCATTATCTTATGAGTCTGAGTGGAACATGTTTGAAATTGGGGCATGTATGATACAAAACTCTCCTTACCAGAAGTTCCCAAGCTGAAATTATTTTCAACAAAACGTGAACAACTGTCCCGGAGGACTCTGATATCACTGAATAAGCAGTGGGCTGGGAATGGACACAGTACTGCTGATTCCTCTGTCAGAAACACATCATTCTCTCTTTTTTTCACTGAGGTGATCCCTAAATAGTAAACAGACTTTTCACTATGACTTTCTTCAGGAAAGGTTCTCTCCAGTTCCAAAAGCTCTTCCAATCCTGATAACGAAATGGGGGATGAAATCATTTCAGGTTGCTGATCTGGTAATATAAAAACTGCCTGGGTGTCTCCCTCCCAGGAGCTATCAGAGAAAGAATCTTTCACCGGAGAGCTCTTGCTAGAGAAACTCTTGCTGACAGAACTCAGTAGAGGTCCTGGTTCTTCGTCCATCTCACTTGATTTTGAACTGCTTAGCAGCATTGCATATTTTACAGAGGGCTGGCTCTGGCTGTCATCCTCGCAGGTGATCTCTACACTTTCCATTTCTGAGAAGTTAGCACTATGGCATGGGTCACTGGTGCAAATCGAACCCTTCTCAAGATCTGGAGTTGTCAGGAAGAGTGAGACCACAGTTTCTGGCACCACCTCTTCTTTGTTTTTCCGTGATGTATCGACACTGATATCTTCTGAAATGGTTTCAGGCTCCAGAAGGAGAGGACCAAATGTCAAGGATCCTGTATGCTTGGTAAAAAGATGTTCAAATGTTTCAGGCTAAAAGAAAAGATATATTTTAATGCTCAATTATATTAAAAATCGTTTGCTTCATTAGGTCAGGCTTGCCAAAATGCACGTGTGTAAGGTTAAGAATAAGGGATAGAAGTCAATCACAAATTTGGGGACTATCTGGGAACTAAAGGAGATATATTCAAAGTCATGAGGGTAACAGTTTAAATGCTTAAAAGTAAGACAAGACAGAATTAGGAAATGTAACACTATGAACACCAACAAGCATAGTAATCAATTGCTTCAGTAAAACTGAGTTCATGGGACTGAGAAGGTAGCTCAGTGGTAGGGTGTTTGCCTTGCATGCATGAGGCCCTGGGTTCTATTCCTCAGCACCACATAAAAAAATAAAGTCGGAAGTGGTGCTATGGCTCAAGTGGTAGAGCAATAGCCTTGAGATGAAGAGCTGAGGAACAGTGCCCAAGCCCAGAGTTCAAGCCATGACTGACAAAAAAAAAAAGTATACTAAGGCTCGGAGTTCAGGCCCCAGGACTGACAAAGAAAGAAAAAGAAAAAAGAAAAAACAACAACAACAAAAAACAAAACAAAAAAAGAGTTCAACACTACTTCAATACAGATGGGTTTCTATAATTGGAAAATCTTATCATCTGAAGAATTCCTTATATTTTTTTATATTATCTTACATTTCCACAACTGAAATCTTAAACCCCAAGTAGAAAAAAACACATCAAAATAAAATCAAAGAAGTAATTTGTCCAAAGATAGTCAAAACAACTATTTCAGGACATAAGATATGGCATGAAGTTAAAATAACAGTGACTATTAAGAACATACCTTCCTTAGGTGATAACAAGAATCTCCTTGAGACTATGAAAATCAGCACTAATAATACCTATTTGTTGAAATCAATGATGGCGAAAGAGATGACAAGACTTATAAACTGTTCCTCCTTGTAAACAACTTCCTATAAAATATAGATTATGGAACACATGGAATGAAGACAAACACACAAGACAAATGTACATCATATATATTATAGGATTGATGGTTACATCACAACAAAAATCCTGCCAAGCAGCTACAAAACAAGAACCTGTTGGCCGAAAAGTCAATCCATACAATGGAAACATGCTGAAAAAATGCAAAATAAAAAATACTATGGATACATCACATTGAAAAATTAACACAACTAAATAGGAAATGTGTTCAGTTTGTATATCACATATACATTTTAGCTTTTGAATTTTACAATTTTTTAAGCTAATAGCGTGACTTAGTAAGCTAATGATTAAGCTAACAATAGCATGACAATTATTCAGCTAATAGATCAGGCTTATTGCTTGAGATGATGGCATTTCAACTGTTCTTCATCATGGCTAGTACATTCCATACAAAAATACAACTTATTTAGCAGCTTGAAACTTGTAAGTGAAATATATTAGCAATTAAAACAAAAAGAATAAATATACAAAACTATAATGCAGTATGCTTATGTAAGTATTAAAATACTGCCTGGTAACAATATTTATTAATACAATTTTTGTGTTATTCTATCAGTATAATACATGAACAGCAAATAGTTTATATGCCTACTTTCTGACAGAAATCAAGAGATTTCTTATTTCCTTCAAATATTTGCTTGTTCACTTTTTCCCTTAAAGGATTCAACTATTTATATGTGCATAGAATTATCTTGAAGTGTTAAATGAACTTAGAAATTAAGAATACCAAATAAAGGAATTAGGTTTTTATCAACATAAAGACAAAATAAGAGTGCACAGAAAATTACCCATAATATACAGTCCAACTCATAAGTGATCTTCAAATGACTTGTTACAACCTATGCTCCCTAAAACCTCAGTATGGGCAAATAATTGTTGGAATCAAATAGTATGCATTTCTTCAAATGCATTCAGGTGGAAAATTTCACTAAGAAATCAAACCCCTATATTACTAAAATATATTTTGCTAAGGATCACAACACTATTAAAAGTATGTTTATTCCAAAAAAAGTCATTTGAAGTGACACTGATCAAGCTGCATTGCATTTATAAACTGCTTTGTTAACTGGCATATCCTTTGTACAACTATGTAAAAATACAAAAAAAATTAAAAAGATTTCACTCTATGCATTTAATTTAGGGGGGACATATTAAACATTCATTCAGCTGGTAAGAATTTTAAAAATCTTTTTATAATTCCACTTTCAGATTTTCCATTCCAATGACATCTGTTAATCATCAACAGAGAAAAACACATTCCTCTGAGGGTTTTTTTTTCCACATCCAAATAAAACATTGAGTAAATCTAATATAAGTGATTCATGCATCTGACTAAAGTTCAATATTATTTGGGTTCATAAATTTGATTTTGTTTGACTGTGAGCAGCAGAGTACAGTTGATATGCTAATTGTGCTCTGGTGAGTGGTCTTTTGTGAGGTAAAAGAGTCCTCACTATGAACTATTTGTAAAAATGTCAAAGGGTGTCTCTTCTTTATACCATGACACACTTTCCTGCCTGCCAAAACTCTTGAATAGCTCAGTGGATACACATTAGATTTAGGCAGGAATTGCCCAAGAAGGCTGGACTGGAGGCTGATGCTCTCTTTTGATCTGCAGAATCTAACCTGAATATATAGAGTTATTCTTATAAGAATTCTAACTTCCACTGGCCTGGGACCAGCACAAAAAACATCTGGCTTTCTTCAAATATCATGCCATTTTCACAGCTATTGAAAACAGAAATTTCTAGATTGATCTAAGTTAGATACCAAAAAAAAAAAAGCTACAAGACACGAAAAAGCCACACAAATGGATCCAATTGCAGGTTCAAGTTTCCATAAAGTAATTTAACGTGGAAATTTGGGGACATACGAATTTAAACTAAATATTTTCACTGCATTCTGTAGTTGGAGTCATTCTGTTTCTAAGGATATGTATCAGAAGTTGCAGTTTTGGAGTTCACTTAGCTATAGCTCATCTAATGGATGTTTCATGACAGCAACAGTCATAATTTTTTTAATGTTTTATGATTAGGAAATGAGACCTCAAATCCAGAAACCATCAATATTACTTTCAAGCTTCAGATAAATTTGAAAATCAACTCTACATCCCAACTAAGCTGGATTCAAATCTATAGCAGAACTCCAAATTTACACATCTCTTTTAAGTACAGTATATGTTAGTCCTTGATAGTTCAACCATTATTTTTGTTTGTTTGTTTAAATTTTCTCCCCTTCTTCAAAATGTAAAAATCTTCTAATAGTCTATGGACTGTTGGAAAGTTGGAACACTGGGTTCATCTGTAGTGATCATGATTAGACTTCAAAGAATGTCCGTTCTCTGTTTAGATAAAATGAAACAAAATAAGAACTCAAAATTTTTTTAAAAAATGCTCAATATACAAAAGAAAAATATTTCAAAGCATTTCCTGTCAGCCATAGTGATGGATTATAAATTCTGTGTTTACGTGACTGTAGTGCATCCTTTTAGGAAAGGATTTGAAATATAGTTGTTTTTTCTCCTTTTCTTACAGGATATCATAATATTATACTCCAAGGACAGATTTCATTAATCCAACATAAGACAAATTAGAGATGAGCAATAAAGTAGAGAAACCAAGAGAAGAATAAAAGCCTGATTTACACATTTGTAACCTCTTTGTTCAAGAGAAGAGAAGAGAAGAAGAAAAAGAAGAAGAACAACAACAAACAACAACAACAACAAGAGTATAATTCAAAGAAAGTGAGCAAAGAAAACAGAGGACCATAAAACATTCAGAGTAGACTGCACCTGCCGAGTAAGTGGAAGGGGTGAATGGAGAAATGCCGATAAAACACATACGCAGGAAGGAAGGAAGGAAGGAAGGAAGGAAGGAAGGAAGGAAGGAAGGAAGGGATACTTGAGGCTGAAAACAGGCCTGAAGGAAGCTCAGACTATTTGACTCTGCTGAACACAGAAGAGCCTTCATAAAAGAATCCCCTCCATATCCAAATTGGGTATTTGTTCTCTAGGGCAATGGAGAAACAGTATGAGATCAGCCATGAGATAGTACTACCTTAGAACTGCACGCCTAGGATGACATTCTCTGTCTGTATGTCCTGGGCTTCCAGTCAACCTAACTACTTCTTCATTCATACAGGGAAATAAAAAGAAAAGAATTACCAGATATTTGTGAGAAGTCTGAGATCAGAAAAGAAAATCCAAGACAAACAAGAGGAAAACATGACCTGATGAAAAGAGAAAATTCAAGGAGAAAAGAGAAATTTACAAGTAAACATGCTAAAATTCAATTCACATTTGTGAACATGGAAGTAAAGAACCTGTGGGGCTGGGCGGGCTCTGGAGGGAGAACAAGAGAAGGGATGACACGGAACAAGTACACTGTAACACTGTCCTCATGGATTGATATGGTGAATTGAAGTCCTTTTGTACAACTTCAGATAATCAAAAATGCATAGAGATTTAAAAATTCTACAATGGGTATTTATGGTAAGACTTAAGAAAATTTTACATGCATAAATCAACAAAACACTGAAGAAGATAGTAGTTAGAAATGTGCAAACAATATTAACAGTTAAACACCCAACAACAATACTGAAAGAATAGAAGGTGGCAACGTATCAGAATACAAAACAAAAAGATACAGCTGTACACAGATGATCCAACATCTAGATACTAGAAAGATAGAACCAAAGAAATGGGAAGGAAAGAAATAATAAAATTTCTTAGGCTTAAATGATAACCAAGTTAAAATGCACTGTAAACTTAACATTAACTACTCAGGAGGCTGAGAGCTGAGGGTTGTAATTTGAAGCTAGCCAGGGCAGGAAAGTCGTTAAGACTGTTAACTCCATTTAGTCACAGAAAAATCTGGAAGTGGTCCTGTGGCTCAAGTGGTAGAGCACTAGCCTTGAGCAAAAGGAGCTCAAGGACAGTGCCCAGGCCCAGAGTTCAAGCCCCAGTAACACTAAAGTTTTAGAACATCAAAATAGAAAGAAATACTTATTTTGTATTAGCAAAAAGATAGGAAGTGCTAAGAAAGTGCATATTTGCTAGAACAAGAATGAAAGTGGTGGCTCATACTTGGAATCCTAGCTAATCAGGAGGCTGAGATCTGAGGTTTGCAGTTCTAAGCCAGCCCGGGCAGAAAAGTCCATGGGACTCTTATCTGCACGTAACTAGCAAAAAGAGCTGAGGCTAAGGGAAAATGCCAAGGCCGTGAGTTCAAGCCCCAGTATAGACATAAAAGAAGAGGAGGAAGCGACAGAAAGAAGGGAGGAAGGGAGGAAGGGAAGGAAGGAAGGAAGGGAGAGAGAAAGAGAAAGGAAAGAAAGAGGGAGAGAAAGAAAAGGAAGAAGGAAAGAAAAGAAGAAAGAAAGAAGGAAAGAAAGAAAGAAGGAAAGAAAGAAAGAAAGAAAGGAAGGAAGGAAGGAAGGAAGGAAGGAAGGAAGGAAGGTGGTATGTAGGTAGGAGGATGGGGAAAAGAGAAGGAGAGAAAAAGTTCATGGATGAGTAAATTATCATGAGCAAATACAAGTTTATTTATCCACTTTCCCACAGGAGGAGATTTAAATGATTTGAACTCCTTTTTTCATTTATTACAGTTTCTGATCACTGCTACTTATAGCAGTGCTTTAGGAATCATGACTGTATATATTATTCAGTTGTCTGGAGTGCATGCCCTGATATTTCCTATTACTTAAAAAAATTGAAAAAGTACATGTACACAGTTCACTAGTAAGACAGTAGGGGAGAATATCTATTGAAAATATAGTGTTCTCTATTTCAAGTAAGTAGTAAAATTATTTTGTGCATTTCTTTCACTTCTTCATAGCTGTATGGATGTGTGTGAGAGGTTAGAAGATAAAACATAGTTCTCACTGTGAGTCATGCAAAAAATTGTAAAGTCACTCCCGTATAGAACAGACCCCAAAGTTAGACAAATTGGCTCTAAAAAAGTTACCTAGCCACTGTAAACTTCAGTTTCGCTTATATAAAATAAAGAGCATAGGGCTGAGAATGTGGCTTAGTGGTAGAAAGCTTGCCTAGTATGCGTGAAGCCCTGAGTTTGATTCCTCAGTGCCACATAAACAGAAAAAGCCAGACGTGGTGCTGTGGTTCAAGTAGCAGAGTACTAGCCTTGAGCAAAAAAAGCTCAGGGGCAGTGCCCAGGCCCTGAGTTCAAGCCCTGGGACTAGCAAAAAATATAAATAGATAGATAGATAGATAGATAGATAGATAGATAGATAGATAGATAGATAGATAGATAGATAGATAGATAGATAGATAGATAGAGAGCATAATAGTTATATCAAGGATAATTGAATGATACTAAAATAGGTTATGTAAAATATTAAATAATACTTATCAAAATCCTTATATGCTACAAGTATCATCTTCTTCAATCTCCATTAACAACCCAGTAAGGTTGCAGCTCATCTTAACCTCACTTTGCAGGGGAGGACACAAACACCCTGAGATCAATATGAAAAATCACAGGAATATAGAAGCATGTATCTCACTGACCTGCCCGTGCATAAATGGACACTCATATTTCCAGAAACTACTTAATGAATCCTACCTTACTATACTGCCCACAGCAGAGGGAAGTTCACAAGTTCTTGTGATGAATAAAATAGTCACTGTCTTCAGAACATTAAATAATAATAAGCTTTAGGAACTTAACTGGGTAAATATTCTCATGAAATTTATAATTAAAAAGGGCCTCAAGAAAGAAGGGTCAAGTGCAGTATATTCCTTGAGGCCCGGGGGCACAAACAACTGGGAAACAGACTATAGAGAAAGGCAATAGAGAGCTGGCTTAAGAGGACTGTTATCATCATGTAGCCAGAAGAAAAACCTGAAGATATTCACAAATGATTAACGATAAAGATTTATTGACGGTATCATGTTCTACAAATAACTACTGTTTTAATAGCTGTGTGTTTTGCCATGAAGAATCCATTTTATATTTCCAGTTTGAGGAGTCTAGAGTCTACCTGGCTTCAGGGGTAGAAAAACTACCTCATTGTAAGCAATAATAAAAAAAATCCATTAAATCCTAGGGTTTTCTGAAAAAGTCTTTTACAGAAGTAGGATCAAACTATTTTATTATAGTTAGGTACTTCATAAGGTACTTTTGCTTAAGTAGATATATATATGTATATGTAAGTTTTACTGCAATTGCATATTTAAATAGTAGTGAGGATAAGATTGATCTTTGAAGGTTATTAAATAACTTTGGAGAGTAAAACAATAGTGATAAAAATATTGATTACTAGCTGTTTGACTGAACATAGTATACATTAAAAAAGGTTTTGCCATCAGTTTCGACCTTTAATATCTAATATTTATTTCATTACGTTCTCTGAACAGAGGAAAGACATATATATATGCTCCCTCCTCTATCCTGCTATTGTTAAAATTACATAATAAATCATATTAAAGTGAATTGAATAAAACTTTTAAATCTTAAAAAAATACTAGAGGATCTAAAAGTCATATGACATCTAAGGTGTGATCTTACATATTCTGGGTTAAAAATTAATGAAAAAGTGAGTGACCTTCTGAAAATTAAGTCCTTGTGCCCAGGAACAATTCTTGGGGTTTGGAACATCTTCCCAGAACAGTTTTTTCATTCTGCAAAGGAAAAATAATACATCAAGAATTACAGGAAAATCCCTACATTGAAAATATTACTTGTGTAGACAGATGGGGTTGGGATAAATGGGCAGGAAGAGTAGTGGAAGCAGCGACACTGATCAAGATGGATTGTACACAGAAACGTGCACGTTGAATTGAAACCTTTTTTGTATGTTGACAGTTAATGAGCACACAGAATACACATTAGCTCATCAAACCAGTTTTAAGTTAAAGAGTTCTACTGAACTTCTATCTAGAAACAAGTTAATAATATTCTAATTAAAAAGCCCACTCTGATGTCCTAATAAAAAATAGTTTCTGTGCCAATAGTTCTGTGTTACATACTGTGCATACATCTTTCTCCAAAAATAAGAAATGAAAAATGAATCTGGTTGGTAGAGAGAAGCCCAGCTCACTTGGCTCCAACAACTTAATTGACTAGAAAGTAAATCCAGTTTCTAAACTCCTCCTTCCTTTTCTTTTGATGGAAGAAAAATGTTGCCTCAGAAATCTGACATGTGTCTGATGTCTCAACACAGGGTGATGTGACACAAAAATAGCTCAGAGAACTCAAGGCCATTTGTCTGATCAGTCAGGCAGACTAGAGTCAAGGCCCATTCTCTCAGAGCAAATAAGCTCCAGGTAGCCACCAAAAATCCACATTTAAGGTCCTGCAATCACCACTAAACCCTCAATCCAAACTGAAGAGCTCCAAAAGCTTTTAGCCACATCCAAGAATGTTACCTATATTTTTCTCCTATAAGCCTGTTCATTCTTCTGTTTGTGTGTGTGTGTGTGTGTGTGTGTGTGTGTGTGTGTGTGTGTGTGCATATAAAGAGAAAAATGATATACCTTAAATTCTTTCTTGAGTTTTATGTTGTCTAATCAGAGTGGAAAATCATTTCCTGAAAACAACTCTTTCTTTTTTATGCTAACTTCATTGTATACTACATACATACAATATCATATAAAATACTTTAATGTTCATGATTTGAGTTGTAGAGCAAGGCTTAAATTTACATGATATTAACACTATATACATACCTTTGGTGTGATATTAGCAATGTCCCAAGCAGTAAGACAGAAGAGGAAATAATTATGGGCACAATTACAAATAGACCTGCATCATTCTGGTGTTTGTTGATATCATCTGAAAGAGAAATATCATTTATACAACTCAGAGCAAAAGGGAATTTTAATCTACTTCTGTATAAAAATTATGCTTTTTCTGATTTCAACATAAATCTGTATTAGTCTCAAAATTATAAAAAAGCACAAAATACGTGCACATGAATAATCATTTTATTCAATATTAGATTAAAAATGTAGCAAACTTTTTTCCCAGTTATTTGCTTGCTCAGTTTCTCCATGTGATAATTTATAGATCACATGAGTCAAACGTGTCCATTAAGTTCATATGATGAGTCTCACTATCTGCTTCTGGCAAAGCCAATTTATAGCACCTGCCACTCTTTTATCTAAATCACTGCAGATGCACTGATTTCTTGCCATTCTTTGAACCCTGTGCTTACTCAGCAGTGCCTTGGCACACGGACTCTTTAGCCTGAAGAGCTACAAAGTCCTACAGGAGTTTACTCAAACATCAACTCTACAAAACAAAACAAAACAAACAACAACAGCAACAACAACAACAAAAAGACCATTTCTGGCAATCCTACCTAAAACACCACATATTAACTATATGCCTTCATATTATTTTATTTTCCTTCAAGCATATATCTGTATCTGACGTTGTACTTGTATAACTTACATACTACCCTTCACTCATTTTGGAACCTTGGAAATTAAACTCCATAAGAGTAGAGACTTGTATTCATGAGCTTCTCCCAAGTTATTAAAACAATGCTCAAGAGATATTTATTAAATAACAGACAAATTTAAAGTTATTTTTATTCTAAAATCAGATAAATACTTCTCTCTTGAAGTTACTTAGCTAAGTTGCTTTGATTTAAAAGTAACTTAAAAATAACAAAATTGAGCCAGGCGCCAATGTAATCCTGGCTACTCAGGTGACTGAGAGCCGAGGAAACAAGCCAGCATGGGTTGAAAAGTCTGTGAGACTCTTATCTCCAATTAACCGGCAAAGAGCCAGAAGTAGAGGTATGGTTAAAGTGGTAGAGTGGAAGCCTTGAACAAAAAGAAGCCCAGCAAAAGTGTGAGCCCCTGAATTCAAGTCCCCATACCAGCACAAAAATAAATAAATAAAATGTTCATTAAAATTAATTAGAAATAGAAGACCTATGAATTTACTACTGTAACAGTTTTGTCTTTAGAGAAAAATTTACTTCCTTTGAACCACTCTATAATAAATATCTCTACATAAGATTCAATTCTCCCATTATTATATCAAATAAAAAATAATCCAATGGCAACACTACTTCTAACACATTACAAAACACACCAGTGTAAAAAGAAAAAAACTAAAAATAAAACTTTTACCTTGGGTGAAACTATTAATTATCTTCGGTTTTCCCACTCCCTCCATAAATACTGGGTAAAGACTGAACTGATACTTCTCAATAGGGATAAAATAATCTGAGGAGAAAGATATGGTAAGAGCTCATTTGTACTTAACTGTGTGAAATGTATACATATAAAAACATAGCTTATATAGACATATATGCAGAAATAAGATGTCAATTGAACTGATGATGAAAGAAATTTCAAAATTAGCCCCAATACTTCAAATTTTCTACCAATACAATTTTCCAAATAATTTTTCAAAAATCATATCCAGACACACATGATTGCAATTTTCAAAGGAATGTTCCTGGTATAGCCAGTTTGTTCAAGTTCACTGGTAAATGGCCTCTTGTTGTACCCTCATTTTCTTTGCCAAAACACTACATACTCCATCATTTCACTTATCCTCACAGTAGGTAATAGTCTTTTTCTCCAGGAAGTTGTCTTACTTAATGTACCTACGCAAGATATCTGGAAAATTAAAATCTTGTGAAGTCCTCTGTAAGGCAGGTAGAATGGAGACCTGGAGTTCTCCTACAGTAGCTGGGAATGATCATCTCCACAGAAAAGCTCAAGAAAGATCTAGTAATATTTTTCACAAATGCTAATAATTGTGTACTATTCCAAAAGAGGTAGATACTTTTGAAGCCTAAATTCAGTATATCTTTGGCTTAAAGAAAGGCACCTAGACAGCAATGGGAAGGAACTTAGTTCTCCATCAATAATTTATACATAAATTTACCCTGATTCCAGATCCCAGGAAGGAAATGGAGGTGGGAGTCCCATGGATGATATTGCACCATGACTGTGGGAATCACCAACTCCCCTACTTAACGTCCCTTAATCCTCACTGGAACTTGTCAGTGCTAGGCTGTGCACAGATACTATGTGCTCTGCTGAACTCTAGGACAATGGGTCTGTCTTCAAGAGACACTGGCCTTGTTCACCAGATCCTAGATCCTTAGACTTGTGACCTTGCATTCCCACTCATTACCAGTGATAGCAAAGTGGGTGCATAGTTTGGGAAATCATTTAGCATTAGGTATTAAAAGCCACTAAAAAAAGATGGTGTTTTTTGTTTATTTTGGGGGGTGTTGAGGATAAAGTTGAAAGCAACTTGAATAGTTTAAGTAGATTTTATAATATGTAATAATATATATATATATGATAATCTAAAATCACAGTAAGAAAAAATTAGAGACAAACCTAAAAGATTTAAGTGTGTCTGTGTACAATATGAAAGAAGCCAGGGAAATGGAACAAAATGGTTCGCTAAGATGATGGGGTCTATGTTTTCAAAGTTTTTATTAACTGGCAATTATTATGTAAGTACTCACCAATTGCATCATATTATTGCATCAAAGAAACTTACTAAAAATTACTGTCAACTTACCATGAATGTAATACTTCTTGACTGTTGAAGGGATCCTAAGCCATTTATTTTCATCATCTTCATTGAGATTTTTCCATTCCATAATAAAGTACATTAGGTTGTAATCGCTGGGTGATAGCATCCAGGAAAGAATCACACAACTGCTGTTTAAAGGATAAGCACTGAGTGACTGCACGATATTTACTGAGGGGAAAAGAAGGAAATTTATTTTTAAATTCAAAATTAATGAGCATTTACTAACACCCTTGAGGAACTTATAACCTACTGGATGAGGGGAAGAGGAAGAGAAGCCAAGTGATTTATACAAGTATAATACATGGCAATTATTTCTGTAGCATAAGAGTCACATAAGCAGAGAAATAAAGGACCCAACCAATGCTACCAAAGAAAAAAGTGATTCTATCTAGAGCCTAAAAGACAGAATGGTTGTCAGTCAAAATGGTTCTCAGCAGAAATCCTGCCAAAGTCTATTCACCATTCTGTGTCTCTCCCACTGCTGGATGGCACAAATAAGGTCCCTCCTAGTTTAAGGCTCCCATGGTTTTCCATATCTGAGATGGGCATTAGTGTCATGTCTACAAGTCCCTCAGGGCCAAGTGTCAAACACCTCTCTGCCCTTTGTGCTTTGTAATGCCAGCCTGGTCTTCCTTCATGTCTTGCTCTGTGTTGTGGAGGTGTTTGGCCAGGTTTCTTCTCTGTTTGAAGCATATGATTTTTTTACCTCCCTCAACTTGGGGAAATTTAACTCGAACACTTCAGGTTTCTGTGCCATACTCTTTTCTCAGAATGACATCTCTGACTCTCAAAGGCAAATGAAGTTCCCTTACTTTTCTTTCTTTCTTTTTTTTAATAAAATTATGTTTCTTTCCTGAGGTCACTTATCCCAATTTCTAAGTAGATATTGTATATTATTTGATTACTATCAGTCCCTGACTGATGTAACCATTACACTTTTTTCTCATGTGGAAATCTCCACCGCTGCATACTAAGCACTCAACAAATATTTCTAGAACATTGTTACTGAAAAACTTTTAGGTGTAAAACATTGTACTGGTGTTCTGTGTTCTATCAGAAGTTTACACTATGCATTCAAAAGTGATCATAACATAAGACAGTCTTGTAAAATATGTAAAATATCTTAAAGGTAGAAAGTACAAAAGTTAAAAGAATGGATAAGACATACTCAAACCAATAATTAGGCTGGGCATAATGGCTCCTGCTTATAATCCACATAAGCAGGAGGAAGTCTGGGCCAAATCTGTCAAAAAGAGACTCTATTTGAAAATTACCTAAAATAAACAGGGCTGGAAGCATGGCCCAGGTACTAAAGAGGCTGCCTAGCAAACATAAGGCCCTGAGTTCAAATTGTACCACCACCACCAAAAAAACAAATAGGCCAAGACTCCATGGAGGAAATGATACTTGGAGAGGCATTTTCTATTAAAAATAGGTACATTGTATAATCCAGATTAGAAATTCCTATGAGTACTTCTCAGTTCTCTGAATAATCAAATATATGAAAATTAATGAAAAAGAGTTTGCTACTCATATTAAATGAAATCCACAGCAATTTTCAAGTCCTGGATAATTGCCAAGACTTGAAAATAGATAGCATGTCATACTATTATAATATGTGTGCATAGCATTTTATATTAAAATACTATATATAGACAAAGCCAAAAGGAAGGAAAACAAAAACAGCAGAAAAGAAAGAACCACTTGTTTCTATTTCCTGGAGTTAATTTCAATAAATACTATTCTGTATGAACAGATGTATATAGGTGTTGCACCTTTTTGTTCCTCTCCTAAAAGTGCCCTCCTTTGGTCTTACTGTGTGTGAATGCTTAGAGACCTGTATAATTTATCATATTCCAGTGTATTTTAGATCTAACTTTTGCATGAGAGAAAACATGCTTTCTTTGTCTATATTTCTTTGGGATTGAAAGGGAGGCACAGAAATGGAGGGAGAAAAGGTGAACAAATACAACAACGGTACTTACTGGATACTATGGGGAAAATGAACTACACAACTTGAAGGTCAGATAGGAGGGAAAATCTGGGAGAGAGTGAGGGAAGGGGTGGCATTGATCAAAAGGAAATATACTCTTTGTTTGGCTTATGTAACTGTAACCCTTCTGTTTAATAAATATTTTAATAATAAAAATAAAATACTATATAAACATAAATACATTACATTCTAATAATACCCCCCACAGTGTACAACAGTATGTTACATATGCTACATCATATACTTACATACAAAATAGTATATATACTTATTTTTACCCTCAGATACATTTACAGAACATACACACACAAACACACACACACACATACACACACTCACGGAACTACAACAATCTTCCTCTCTGCAAAGGCTCAAGTAATAGGTTACTAGAAAATTGTCATTTTGTTATAACACTTCAAAAATGTTCTGCCACGTGAATATAATCAGTGTAGAGTATGTGTTGTTATTTTTCAAGCATAGTGATGGATGAATGGGAATTCCAGGCTGCTCAGAGATAATTTAGACGGGAAGAATGTGCACAGATCAAGTGCTTACAGGAGCAATGGATTCTTACTCTGTTACTCTTCTCACCTTTGCTCATGGGCCGTGAGAATGTGAGATTAAAATTTGCAGAAGAAGCACCAACAGAATTGATGGCCAGAACCGAAACAGTATGTGCTTGCTCTGTCCACAGGAACGTGAGTTGGGTACGATTTCCCACATCTTCTGACCATGTTCCATTGTGGGAAGTATGATGCTTTACCACGTATCTCCTCACACTGCACAGTGAGTCACTTTGGGTCAGGGGCTGTAGTAAACATAGAAATTGATTAGTGGAAAGACTACAGTGCTTTTATACCAAATGAGCACACTGAGCTCTGATTACAATTTCCCATCAGTAGCTACCAGTTAGATGAAGGCAGGAACTGCCTATTACAATGCTGAGGTTAGTGGGGAAGGATAGAAACTGCCTCCAAGCACATTCTCCGTGAATGTGTCTGAGTAGTAACAGAGCAGAGTAAACTTATTTTTCTTCTTTTGAGTTTGTTCTTTTCTCAAGACCCAAAGAATACGTCCCTTGAATACAGTGAAGTAAAAAAACAATTAGACACCTTCCTACTAAACTGTTTTATCAGTCTTTAGAGAAAGACTGACAAGGAATAGTTTGCTCAAACAAACAAACAAACCAGGATCAATTATATGAAGCAAACAAAAAAGCCCTGAGAAGATGTTAATGCACATTAATCCTACGAAGATCATCAGTAGTTTTCCCTTGCTCTGATGCACTTGGAGGATTTCAAGCAGGGTGTGCTTACAAAGAACAAGGGACAAAAACTCTTGGGTTAATGGATAAGGCCATAGGATTTCTGTCTTACAGCCCTTTATAAAGACTAGACAGTGTTTTTTTTAAATTCCTAAGTAAAATATGCACCAATGTTCTTTTTGATTCAATGTTGTTCTTCATTCTAAAGAGCATAGCAATAGGGGCTGGGAAGGTGGCTCAGTGGTAGAGCGCTTGTCTCGCATGAATGAGGCCCTGGGTTTGATTCCTCAGCACCAAATAAGCAGAAAAAGCCAGACGTAGTGCTGTAGCTCAGGTGGTAGAGCACTAGCCTTGAGCTAAAGAGCTGAGGGACGGCACCCAGGCCCAGAGTTCGGGCCTCACAACTGACCAAAAAAAAAAAAGAGAGAGAGAGAGCATAGCAATCGACCCTATTGCAGACAGGATGAATTGCTGTGAATCCTTTCTAACAGCCTGGAAAGCTAGACTAACTTACAATTTTAAAAGCTTCTCATGATTTAAGTAGGAAAACAATGAACAAGTTATTTGGGTTGAGTGTCCCCTATCTGAAAATCTGAAATCCAGAATGCTCCAAAATCTGAACATTTGAATATCATGTCGGTGCTGAAATGGGTGAGCTTTCAATCATAATTTCGGACATCAGATTTGAGGCTTAGGGATGCTTTGGTTCTTGGTGTTTAGGCTTTTTTTTCCCGAAAGTATCATGCCTACTATATGTGTCCATTGAACACTATTGGGAAAATACTGTCTAGGTCTGAGCTGTGTAGGCTTGGGGAGAGGCTATGGTTTGGCTCTTGAGCATCCACCGAAGGTCTTAGGTGTTAAAAACTTGGTCACCAGCTTGTAATGCTTCTGGGGACTGGTAGTATAGCAAGGATACATGTTCTAATGGAAGGAAGTGAGGTCCCCTTGAAAGGGATATTAAAATAGCACCACTTTCCTCTTTCCCAATGCTGATTAGTGAGCAGTTTCTTCAGCCATCTGTTCCTAGCATGATGTACTTACTGCCTTGCAAATAAAGCCAATAGACCATAGGCTGAAGCCTTTAAAACCCAATGAGCCACAAGGAATCTTTCCTGCTTAGACCCTGTTTATAACAGGTTATTCTGTCATAGTGATAGAAAACTAACATGGGAACCACAACAATTGATCTTCCTAACTTCAAGTTAGAAAATTGAACTGAAACAATACAAAACTAGGACAAGATTGAAAAAAGAGAATTCAGCTAATAAAAGGCATTCATGTTCCTTGAAAAGATGTAGCAACAATGCTTTCTCTCCTTATTTCAAATCAAATCTGAAGAACCCAATATGAATGACAAGGGCCACTGTGGCTATTTACATTTTAATTAATTAATTAATTAATTATGAGTTAAAATTCAGTTTCTCAGTCACATTAGGCACATTTCAGGTACTAATAGACACATGAACCTACTTTATAGGACAAACCATTTCCATTGTTACCAAAAGTTCCAGTGGACAGCATCATTGAAAAAACATGGAAGCCATGATATAAAGAAAACATAAAAAAGACAATAGTTTGTTGGGCCTGTTAGGATGGAAGAAGAGGGAGGAAGTGACTGCAGCTGGGGTCAGAAGGCAATTGCTACACTTGCTACATTTGTTTACTGTATAGTAAACAAAAATAAACGAATAACTAAAGGTGCTTAAATTCTGTTCACATTTGCCCTACCACTGTCTTAGAAACATCACTGCCTGATTCTCACTGTAGAAACACTCAGATCTTTGAAGCAGGTGTTCAAAGAAATAAAACAAGGGAAGAAGGAGAAGAAAACAATCTGTTGAGTAAATAGCTGTTTCTTATTCAGCAGAGCCTCCTTCCTTGGTGGGCTGAGCTCCCCACACAGTCACAGTACATACCCTGAGCCCCCCGGGAGTAGAAATGTGAAAACTGCTTAGACAAAAAATGATTAATAAGGGTGGGGGTGGGTAGGGGAACAAAGGAGGAGGAGGCAACAACACTTGATAAGAAATGTATTCATTACCTTGCCCATGTAATTGTAACCCCTCTGTACGGTATTTTCACAATAAAAAAAATAAAAAATATGCATCAGATTTAAAAAATGATTAATAAACATCAGCACCAGTTTTTAGTGCTAACATTAAATTAGAAATGTTGAAATAGAACTATTTAGAAATAGTCTTGAAAGACTATACTTTCAGGGATCATTTCTGTAGTTTGTTATTAGAAATAGTCTTGATTATGCAAACAAGTAAAATTATACAGTAACTAGATTTACAAACTTTGTATGTCTCACTTTTTTACATAAGGATTGATCTTAGATAAGCACACATTTTAAAATCATGTTAGTTTACTCTTGGAGAATGAACTTTAATTTATTTAGGGTGACACCAATATTATTTTATTTTGTGTGCTTCTTTCCAAAATCATTCTTAAATTAGGTATCACTTGGGATAGAAATCAATTCATTTGAAACACAATGTTTAAAATTTTCTGAGTATTTATCATTGAAGAGAATATTACTTATCTGCTATTATATAGATACGTTACATTTTAGATATTCTTGAAGTATGAAGGGGAGTCCACATTGACGTTATACAAGATTAATTGTTAAAACAGGGATACAGATTGACCCATTGCAACAAGAGATATACAAGACGCTATGTTGATAAACGAACTTTACAATTTAGGTGGGGGTGGGGGACGGGGGGGGGTAATAGCTGAGGAGGTGGGAGGGAAGGTATGGTAGGGGAAAAACAAAGAAGGAGGCAACAATGCTGGATAAGAAATGTACTCCTTACCTTGTTCATGCATCTGTAACCCTTCTGTACAGTATTTTCACAAGAAAACGTTAATTTATAAAGATCAAATATAAATACAATTTTTGGATTGGGTATACTAAATTATCATTTGGCCCAATTTATACTCATACACCTGTTCAATTTTGACATCTAAGTGACTTCACCAAAAACAGTTGTGATACAATTATGTTTAAATGAAAAGAGAATTCAATTCTCCTAGCTCCACTCCAATGCTCCAAGAACTATAAATCTTAGCTCTTTACAATCAGATCTCAAAAATGAAATGAGAATACAAAACCGGAGGTCATTTAGGAGGTTAATAATGGCAGGATTATGAACAACAAAGTAAGTATATCTTTTAAGAGAATAAAAGTAAAATTTAAGAATGAAATACAAAGCAGGGATACCTTCCAAAGTAAGGTGACGTTGTTCTCTTTTTCAGTAATATCTCCATGTATTATTCTCCACAATTCAGGTCCTCTCTTGGGAACTACAAAATGAAAAGAAGGCGGGATTGTCCATGTATCTTCATCAAAAAATACTTTAGTCATTTATGAAGCGACACCTAAGCACTTTCAAGATACATTTACAAAATCTTTGCAGACCTTTGACGTCCATGACAGCTGTGTATGCTGGGTTGCTCCAATTGCTCCAGTACCCCAGGCCATCTAACCTCTTGCAGCGCACCTGAGCAGCATAGACCACACATAGGTCTGGCACTGGGAAACTGGCAGATTTTGATTTTGCATCATGCACCTCATGCATCTGTAAGTCAAAGTAGTAGACTGAATTTCACCAGTATGCATGTATTGAAAGGGCTCCATTTTCATTGTAAAGCTTAGAACAATTCCAACATTAAGAGAAAATTGATTTTGTGTTCAAAACCAACCTGGGCAGAAAAGTCTCTGTGACTCGTCTCCAATTAACTACTAAAAAACTGGAAGTAGATCTAGGACTCAAGTGATAGAGTGTTAGCCTTAAGCAAATAGCTAAATGGAATTGCCCATGCCCTGAATTCAACCCCTCATGTATTGACACACACACAAAAAAAGAATTGGGGGGGGAAGGGGTCAGTCATGGGTTTGAACTCTGGGCCTGCATGCTGTCCCTGAGCTCTTCAGCTCAAGGCGAGTGTTCTACCACTTCAGCCACACATCCACTTCCAATTGTCTGGTGGTTAACTGGAAATGAGAGTCTCACTGACTTTCTTGCCTGGGCTAGCTCCGAAATGAGATCCTCAGATCTCAGCCTCTTGAGTAGATAGGATTACAACCGTGAGCCACCAGCACCCGGCCAAAAAAAAAAAAAAAAGAGAAATTTTAATTTAGTGTTTCTCCCTAGAAAACCAAATGGATAAAATGCATGTTCATTTTAGTTGACATAATTGTGATGTAAGACATAATTAAGTTTCCTGGTGTATTCTGGTTTTTGAAAACTACTACCTCAAAACAAATGGAGAGAGCAATTCTACACATTCTTGCTTCTATGGATATAAATCTGTGTGTTTAATTAAAGCAACTTCTTTTAAAGTGTGCTCTGTTGAATACATTTGTATGTATTAGTAGATGTTAGAGAAAAAAAGGTCCTTGGAAATATAAGTTTGGGAACCACTAGATAAAAAAAAAAAGACACAATTGCCTCTTTAATGTAAGACATCTCAGATTGTTAATATGCCATATACTGCAACTCTTCCCTCCAAAGATACTCTAATGCAGGTTTCTCTAAACCTATTTAAACATAGGTCTTATAGGATTCATGTTCTGTGTGAAATGTATTTGGGGAAAGGATTGATCTAGAAATGTTGTTTTATAAAAGAGTTGAAAGACTGAAAAATCTAACTAAAATACAGGATGATATACTTTTTGTATACCAATAAAATCAACCTTACATTAAAAACTCTTACACATTAAAAAATTAAAACAGTGAGGCAAACTGAAGAAATTTCTAAGGAAAGATACCTTCCATTGTATTTCTTTCCCACTTAACCCATATCGAATCTGGAACTGAAGATTATTCTCCGGAAAGAGTGGCTTTTCCCACGATACTTTCAAAAATCCAATGTTTACTGTCATTTCTGCTTTCACACTAGATGGAGGAAGTGGTCTCACTAGAAATTGTAAGAATATTATAGAATGGTAATTTAAAGAGCAGTGTACTTAAACATCATACTATAACGCATAATTTAATACCACATATTCATAATCCAAAAATCCTCTCAAAACTTTCTTATTACCTCATCTTTCATCTTTATAACTTTACATAAGACATAAAAATTATTTCTATTTCACAAAGAGTTTCCTTTAAAAAATCAATAATCAGGGGCTGGGAAGTTGGCTCAGTGGTAGAGCGCTTGCCTTGCATGCCTGAGGCCCTGGATTCGATTCCTCAGCACCACAAAAGCAAAAAAAGAAAAAAGCCAAAAGTGGCACTGTGGCTCAAATGGTAGAGTGCTAGCCTTGAGCTGAAGAGCTGAGGGACAGCGCCCAGGCCCAGAGTTCAGGCCCCATGACCGGACCCCTCCCCCCAAAATCAATAATCAGTTATCCATGGCACTCCATAAATTAATAAAATACCTCATTAGAAATTGAGCCATTGAGACTAACAGGATATGACTCACTGATAGAGTGCTTACTTAGTATGAGCACGGCCCAGGGTTCAATTCATAGGAAGTGGAAGGAGAAAAGAAAGGGGAAGGACAAGTTCAAGGGGAACAGGAAGAGGAGGAGGAAAGAAAGGAGTTAATGTCTGGGAGTATACTATAACTCTGTGACACAGGCCTTGTCTAACATGTATAAGGCCTTAGCTTCAATCCTCAAAGCCACATAAAAAGTAAAGAAAAAAGAAATGGAATCCTTGGCACTACATGTAAAGGTATCATACTGAAGACATAAATGTTAATATTAATCTGTGTTCTTTAGCTTAAACATCTCCCACACAGACACTATCTCTGAATTCATAATTTCTACTTTAAAGCCACTCTTCCAAATAATAAAAGACAAATAAAAGATTGGATATTTGATACAAAAATTGAAAGCATAAGCATAACTGTGAGCCTCTGGACCTCTGGTGTTGCTTATCTGCCCAAAGAGAGGAGCGTTCCACAGAGAGGTTGTAGAGCCAATTGATGTGATTCATGAGTTTTAAAACACTTAAGTGGCATACATGCACACTAACTAGTAAAGAACTGCTCTCCACAGAACACCTCCAAAACCAGCTCACATACATTTGAATGACCCAGTACCTAACAGGTGAATGCCTGGCACCAAAAAGGGCCTCCAAAGAGGGACAGAAATGCCACTTTTCTTAGTGATTATTTTCAAAGTCCTTTCTGCACACTTGCAATCCGAAGTATTTGTGTGACATGTCCAAGTTTACAAAGCTAGTAAGTAGTGGAGCTGCCACTAATTTCCAAGTTGAATTTGCACATTTCTTCTTGTTAGCTAAGACAATACTTTCAAAAACACAAAATATCACAGGTTATTCAGAGCATATATTACCGAATTCATGTTGCCTTGTCGTGTTACTTGCATACTTGTGAGTGTTACCTGTGTGTGTTGATGGGTAGGAGGGATCTTTGCTATCTTAATTTATTTAGTACCCATAAGATCATGCACAATGAAGTTACATATAAGAGAAAATTAATTACATGGAAACTTTATGTGTTCACATTTAAATTAAAAGGTACATTTCACTAATACAGTAACCCTTGTTTTAATTATGTTTTTCCAGCATAAAGTTTTATTTTATTCATATTTTATTATTTTATTCATAATATTAATAAATATTCATAAATGAATATTTTATTCATTTTTATTCCAATTAGTTGAATAAAAATGAATAAAATATTTGAATTTTTGCATAATACCCAACAAAATAGTATATAGAAACAATTGCTATTCTTTTTTACTTTTTGGGGGGGGTCATTCGTGGGGCTTGAACTCTGGGCCTGGGTGCTGTCTTTGAGCTCTTCCAAGTACTCTACCACTTGAGCCACTTCCAGTTTTCTGGTAGTTTATTGGAGATAAGAGTCTCATGGACTCTCCTGCCAGGGCTGGCTTTGAAACGTCATCCCCAGATCTCAGCTTCTTCAGTAGCTAGGATTACAGGCGTGAACAACTAGCACCTGGCACAATCGCTATTCTTTAACTTCTGTTGTACCATCAGAAATAAGTTATTTCTCCAAAATTTCACAATTACACTGGAGATATGTACCAAATATTTCAAGGGCTCTATGAATTCTTAGATCTCAAAACTTCTGTTGAAAAGAATGTCCTAAATATCATGAATGTGCCATCAAGGTGTCATCTTAGTCTGTTCTGTAATCCATAGAGTAGTATGCTGAAAATGTTCTAATTGCTATGTATGAGTTATCAATACCTATGAAGAAGTATGCCAAAAATAATATAAGATAGACTCAAATAATTTTTCTAAGGTTGGTCATCTTGTGAATTTTACTATATGCAGAAAAAAAATTTCTTTTGAAAATCTAGTGTGATTAGAAAATGGCAAAGAAGAGCCAGGCACTGGGGCGGCTCACACCTGTAATCCTAACTACTCAGGAGGCTGAGGATCGTGGTTCAAAGCCAGCCCAGGCAGGAAAGTCCATGAGACTCTTATCTCCAGTAAACCACCAGAAAACCAGAAGTGGCACTGTGGCTCAAGTGGCACTTGCCTTGAACTGAAGAGCTGAGGAACAGTGCCTAGGCTCAGAGTTCAACCCCTATGACTAATCAAAAAAAATGAAAGAAAGAAAGAAAAAAGGAAGGAAGGAAAGAAAAAAGAAAATGGCAAAGAATAATATTAATTCTGAATTATCTTGCATCCAAATCTACTACTTACCTACAGAATCAGGGACCACACATGTTGGCAGGGAGTTGAGTGAACCTAATGAGTGATTGACAGTAATCCACATTGTGTAGCCAGATAATAGAAAGATTGGCTGGAAAACGCACTCATAAAAGCCATTCCTCTGCAAATGGCAATCTTTGGGCTCAGATACAGGATGAATAGATGGACTATCAGAACAATAAAGACTGCTCCTAAAGACACAAAAATAGTCAATTAACATATAGCACTGATCAAAGCAATATGGATATTTGAGAATTCTGAATTGTTCTAAAAGAAATATTTTTCTCCATCTGAAAATGGTGTATTTTTAATTAGAAAGGCATTCTTAAATACCCAGTTATTTTCCAAGCTGCATCTTTCCACAGAAATAGTAATACCTATAAAATATTGTATTCATCATTAATTAGAGGTATCGATTTAAAAGGCTCAAATAAAAATATAATCCAGTGAGAGATAGCATCTATAATACCGTGAAAGTCAAGCTAACATTTTATATTAGTGAAATAATTTTAAAGGTGTAGATTAGAAATAATAATTGCAACTCCCAGGAAGGTAATAAGGCTGATTTTTCATATTTCAAATCAGGAATTGATTCTACAAACAATTGACAATGTAACTGACAGTATAACTTAACAATACCTAATACTTTCTCATTTAAATTAAAATAATGCCAATCCCTGATGTGTATATGAATAATATACTAAAGTATTACTCATTTTCTCAGGTAATAAAACAGTTAAAATTTTGAGTCTCAACCAACATTCCACCTCAGGACATACAAAGTATTTCTTCTCTACTCTGGCACAGTGCTTCCACTACTAGTTGTTCTGAATACAGCATTTAAATGGCTGAAGTAGCAATGAGGAGCAGAGTGAGGAAGTCCGAAGAAAATAAAACATTTATGATGTTCTCTCCTCTATCATTTTTGGATGCTTTTATTTCTCTCAAGATTATCGATATGGATGTAGTTAGTGTGTGTGTGTGTGTGTGTGTGTGTGTGTGTGTGTGTGTGTGTGTGTGACAGAGAGAGAGAGAGAGAGAGAGAGAGAGAGAGAATAATAGTGAGAAAAATGCAAACAGGAAGAGAATCACTCTCAGGAGCAGTAGAGAAGCCAAGTGTAGGAATAGTCCGCTTGGAACAAATGCTTAGCATTATTATCATGAGAGCAATTAATCATTACAGACTGTTTCCTGTAAGTTAGAGCATTTAATTATAATTAAATGTTTTATTAATTCTCATAGAAATCCTGTAAATCCTGCTATCTCTCCTGTTTATAGACAAAGCTATTGAGAATTCTGAGGCTGAGGGACTCAGCGACATGCAGCTAGTTTCATGGGTATTCTGTGTTTGTAAGGTAGATGAGCCACGGGCTTTTAGAAAAGTCTTCCACAAGCTCATCCTGTTTCATGAAAACACCATGAAAAGAACAGAAAGACATGGTATAGAAGTGAAATCACATTACCATGAACATTTTATTGGGTTAAAAATAGTCAACGTTGGCAGGTTTAAGGCAACTACTTTCCCATTTCAGAAACTGCCACATTTATCCTAACACTACACAGTAACAGACTCATAGAATTAGGACCAGAATTCAAACTGCAGTATTTGAGTGAGGATATATATTCTTCAAGTTGAAATTTTAGATTTTAAGAACAGTAGGGCAAGCCGGGCATCGGTGGCTGACGCCTATAATACTCAGGAAGCTGAGATCTGAGTATCACAGTTCAAAGCCAGCCTGGGAAGGAAAGTCCTTAAGACTTATCTCCAATTAACCACCAGAATACCAGAAGTGTGCTGTGCCTCAAGGTGCAGAGTGCTAGCCTTGAGCTGAAGAGCTCAAGGACAGCACCCAGGCCCAGAGTTCAAGCAAGCAAGAGAAAGAGAGAAAGGGAAGGAGGGAGGAAGAGAGGAAGGAAGCAAGGAAGGAAAGAAGAAAGGAAGGGAAGGAAGGAACAGTAAGGCATAGTGTTTAAGAGTAAAATGTATATATATATATATATATATATATATATATATGAAAATGACTATGAAATACTTTAAAAATAAAAAATGTGTATGTATTATCACTTCTAATCAAAATAAATAATGCTAGGAAAGACAAGAGAAATGCTATGAGATGTCTTAATAAAAACAAATTTAAAAATAAGCAAGTACAATGCATATTTCTCCTTATTAGAACTTAATACTTTTGATTATTATTTCCCAAATAACTTCACTGAACCTAGGGCCATGCATATACAAGGAAAGCTCTCACTTGTATTTTGTAGTTAGTTTATTTTTAGTGGCACTAGGGTTTAAACTCAGGGCAGTTTATTTTTAGTGGTACTAGGGTTTAAACTCAGGGCTTTGAGTTTTCTACAACTTGAGCATATCATCAGCCCTTGTATTTGTTTTTTACATAGGGTCTTGCCAACCTTTCCTGGAACTCTCAAACCTTCTGCCTCTGTCTTTCTTTTTTTTGTTTTGTTTTGTTTTTTTGTTTTTTTGGGGGTCCAGTCGTGGGGCCTGAACTCTGGGCCTGGGCGCTGTCCCTCAGCTCTTCAGCTCAAGGCTAGCGCTCTACCACTTGAGCCACAGCACCACTTCCAGCTTTTTTCTTTTTGCTTATATGGTGCTGAGGAATCGAACCCAGGGCCTCCTGCATGCAAGGCCAGCACTCTACCACTGAGCCACCTTCCCAGCCCCCTGCCTCTGTCTTTCAAGTAGCTGTGATTACAGGTGTGCACCAGCTCATTTGGCTCCTCATCTAGTTCTTAAAACCATTCATACTGTCTCTTATAATCTTTATCTGATCTTTTTTTAAACATCAATCTTTAGCCAAATAATGTTCAATATTTTTAATCCTCCATACCCTACTCTAGACAATTTTTAAGTCAATTTAAATGTACATAATTTAAATGTATCATTGATGAGTTAAAACTCAATTATAGCCAGTCACAGTGGCTCACACCTGTAATCCTTGCTACTCAAGAGGCTGAGAACTGAGGATCATAGTTCAAAGCATGATTTAGGAAGGAAAGTCCATGAAACTGTTATCTCCAATTAATCACCAAAAGGCCAGAAATGGAGATAGGGCTCAAGTGGTAGAACACTAGCCTTCAGCAAAAAAGTTCAGGAACAGAAGCCAGTATCTGAGTTCAAGCCCCAGGTCAGGCACAATAAATAAATAAATGACCCTCAGTTGAAGATAATGAGTTGTCAGACAAGGAAACTTAAAATAAAACATACTAGAACTTTCTTAACCTTGGGCATGAAAATTTCCAAGTTGGTTATATTCTACCTTCCGCTGTCAGGAAGAAAAATCTATAAAACTACTGTTTTGATGGATATTTCAATAGAAAATATCTCACCCTACTCACAGAAAAACAAAAGAGCAAAAACCATACCTACCTGTGATATCTTAACTGCAAAGAATTTCCCACATGTGATTGGATTGGATTGGCTGACCATCTGCAAGTCATTTTAGTTAAGTACCCATCAGTTTCACATGATATATTGATATTGACATCTATTTAAAACACATTAAAATATTAATATAAAAATAAAAACACCAAAAACAATTAATGAAAAAATACTTTATTTACATTTTAATAGGACTCTGCTATAGGGCCCACAATAAAAGTGATCTTGTGAGACAAAAGGAAGAAGACTTTGGAATCCTTACCGATCACATGTAACTCAGCGTAGCGGTGGTGGCACTCCTGCTCACTGCAGCAGTACACTGCGTCATAGGTGAACTTCCCTCGGAGCTTGGTGGCTTTCACATTGGGAAAAGTGACTTTGCTGACAAGGTCACTCACAACAGTATACTGACTTTGAGGAATTTTTTCAGCTAAATTCATCCACCAAACAATCTTTGTGGAGGACACAAGCTGGTTTGCATGTTTATAGATGCAGTGAAAAGACACATTCGACCCAGCACTTGTCAAGATTTTAGCTGGGAAGTATATGACATCTACAATGAGGAAGAGAGAAAGGAGAGGAGATAAAGACAGAGAGCATCATGAAAGCAACTTACACTATGTAAAAGATTCTCAACACAGTCCAGGGTTATTCTCTTGTCAACAATAAAACCAGTGTACCAAGAAACTGAATGACTCTAATTGCCTATTGATGGACGGTTAAGTCTCACAACTTCTGTTCCCAAGTGCTTGAGCCTCTGTGATGCCTTTGTTACCTTCTAAACCCACAGATTTGCTCACCATGAAACATCTTTTATGGAATAACTGTTACTGGCTAAGTTTTCAGCAATAATAATGATAATAATAACTGAAATAAAGTACAGTTTCATTCTACAGTGACATGTTATCCATCAGCTACTGCTTTAAGAATCAGTGAAACCAGAGGAGGGCTCTTAGAATAAATCACCATGAGACAAAATCCAGAAAGAAAAGATGGTTATTTTATTGCCTTGTTTTATTTTGTCTTTATTCTACTGTCTTTATTGTTTTAAATACTTGAAATTTTCAAGAAAATAGGTAAAGTAGATAAAACAAAAATAAGATAATTCATTAGGAAATGTAATATGACCAGTACACCAGCCCAGGAAGCAGGGAAGGTGTAAATGTTGGTCTATAGCACCATTATGAGTTACTCAATGCCACTGTCCTGTGCTAAAGGACAAACAGATTGTATTCTAAAACATGACTTTTATTGTCTGTGTGCTCTTTATTCCATACTTTTTAGAACAATTTATTGGAAACTTAGTTTGCCAATCAGAAAGGTACATTGATAGACCCTATCCCTATGAAGGTAGAATAGGTTAAAAGTAGGCTAGGAAGAAACTATTTGCATCATGGTTCATGAAAAAAAAAAAAAACAGAAAAACAGTCTATCTTGACTGCATGATTTTTCAGTAAGCCATTTGGTGCTGAAGGTCTGTTTGTGTTTTGTGTGTCTATAGTAAATTGAAACAAGAAAAAAACATAGTAGCATGAAATGATTGAGCAGAAGACGGACGACTCAATTATGAACACTACTGAGTACAAGCCCAGCCCAGAAGGGAACTCAGCCTTCATGTGTACATTACATACTGGAGAAGTTCCTACATTTGAGAGATCACTAACCTACCTTCCCGGAGCTAACAATCTCATCACTGAACTAGCTCAAAGTCTTAGAGCAATTATTTTTTATTTTAAAAAAGTACTCAGGAAATTTCACAAAGTAAATTCAATAAAACCCAATTCTCTGTTAACTAGAAATAGAAATTAACATCTAAACCTGTTTTACAATAGATCCCTTAGTCTCCAAGGCAAAAGTAATTGCTCTCCTTGTTTAACACATTATTTAGCTCTTCTCACAATCTTACTTTGTGCTGAGAAATTAGTTAAAAATATGTCTAGCACCTATCTCCTCTAAATATGGAGATTTTGAACATACAGATTATAGATTCACAAACTATAATGGCATCTAATGCTTACTGAGTGCCCACTAAAAGTTAGATGTTCTGTATCTGATAAAAGCCTCATTGTATCACTTTGTTTTATCCATATAAAAATTCTTTCTTTTTTGTGTGTCAGTCCTAGGGCTTGGACACTCTTCCTAAGCGTTTGTACTCAAGGCTAGCACTCTGCCATTTGAACTACAACTCCACGTCCAGTCTTTGGGTGGTTAATTAGAGATAAGAGTCTCATGGCTTTGTTGCTCCGTCTGGCTTTGAAGTGTAATCCTCAGATCTCAGCCTTTTGAGTAGCTAGGATTACAGGCCTGAGCCAACAGCACCTGGCAACAACTCTATTTTATAAGTAAGAAAATTGAGACACAGAAAGGTTAAGAAATTCTGTAAGTAAATGGTGAAGCTATAAACTGTCAGACTCTGAAATCAATTCGCTTAAAAATCTTTAATGATCCTTTCTGACTAACACTTTTTAAAAATAGTAACTAATCAATAACTACTCTTTTTGAGTTAGAACAATTATTTGCTTAGTATTTTACATGATACTTGCAGTTTCCACATAATCACAATCAGCTTGTGTAATTTGAACAAGAATAATAGTTCTCCTAGTGACAAATCAGACAACTAGGGCTGGGAAGGTGGCTCAGTGGTAGAGCGCTTGCCTTGCATGCATGAGGTCCTGGGTTCGATTCCTCAGCACTACATAAGCAGAAAAATAAAAGCTGGAAGTGGCACTGTGGCTCAAGTGGTAGAGCACTCACCTTGAGCTGAATTGCTGGGGGATAGCATCCAAGCCCAGAGTTCAAGCCCCATGACCAACAAAAAGAAAGGAAAGAAAGAAAGAAAGAGAAAGAGGGAGAGAGGGAGAGAGAGAGAGAAAGGGAGAAAGAGAGAAAGGGAGAAAGAGAGAGAGAGAAAAAGAAAGAAAGAAAGAAGGAAAGAAAGAAAGAAAGAAGGAAAGAAAGAAAGAAGGAAAGAAAGAAAGAAAGAGAGAAAGAAAGAAAGAGGAGAGAGAGAAAGGAAAGAAAAAGAAAGAAAGAAAGAAATTATCAAAACAATTGGTGTTCTGAAGTTAAGTGAGAAACTATTTTAATTGATTGGTTGTCTGATGAACTGATCAATTTAGGAAAGGATCTCTCTTCGTAGGCTGGTTTTGAGCTCGCAGTTCTTCTACTTCAGCCTCTCAAGTACTGGGATTAGAGGTGTGTAATAATATGACCAACATAACTTTTCATCTATTTTTTTTCTATGAAGAGAAATTCACTAAAAAACTACTTTGAAAGCACAAAAACATAGGAACTCCACTACAATTTTAATTAATAATCAGCCTGTTCAAAATTTAAATAAAATAATAATATTGTGACCACTCTTTGATTTTAAGGGTCATACAATTTAAGATGTTTATGATATGCCAAAGGCAAATTCCTGAAGTCTAGTTCACTCTAGAACAAGACATACCTTGAGTGGTAAAGACATGAGGCGAACTCCAGTCACTCCAGACTCCTGGGCCATCTAGTCTCTTGACCCTCACCTGGACCTCATATGAAGACCCAGGAAGCACGCCATCTACCAGCAGGGATGTAGCTGATACAATCTCATCACCCTGTTAAATATTATGTTCAAACATCAGACCACCAAATTAGCTGATATTGATCATAAGCAAGTCTCCAAAAAAAAGTTACAGGGGAGGTATCTGGCCAGAGTTGAATTAAAACAGAAATCAATGACAAAGTAACAAATGTTTGTATACTAGTCAAGAAAATGTTAACTAGCCTAGGGTCCAAACATCATATGACAGTTGTCAAATACACTTAACCAGATGACAATGAAAGGATGCCCTTTAGAATATTGAGAAATGAAGCTAACATCAGTGGAAAATTCCAAACCACTGCTGCCATCTATACACCTGCTATAAAAAAGAAGGGGGAGGGAGAAGTAGAGACTTATCCTAGCTCCTGAAGGAGTGATTCAGGGACAGAAGGTGTGAATGATTTCTAAGAAACTGACCCTGATGATAAGCTGTATGGCATAAGTCAAAACATAGCTTGTAAACCAGAAGGAAACCATCTGAGTCCAGGACCTGCATTAAAAAAATCCTCTAGCTAAGAAATTACTTAGGGAATACATTCAGTTTCCCAGTATAATGTCCTTCAATGTTACTAAATTCTGTGGGCTCTTTAGAACCATAGGGTGAAGGAAATGGAGATAGGCCATAGTCTGAAAATGATAGAAAGCATCAGTAATACATGAGACAATATCAGATCACTCATATTTGAAATCCTTACTTTACAAATGAGAACACAGAAGCCTATAATAGCCCTAACTGTGTTTCCAAACATGACACTTCCAATCTCCAACCTGCTGCTGTTGGTGAAAATTAGCTCACCCCTTGTCTAGGGCTGATGGGTTTGAACACTTACTTAGCAAGCACAAAGCCCCAAATTAAATTTCCATTACTGAAAAAAAAAACCTAAATGAGCTTTTAACAACAAGAGCAACCAAATGTACACATTCTATTTGCTGGATGCCAGTGGCTCATGCCTGTAGGTCAGGAGGCTGAGACCTGGAGGTCATGGTTCACAGCCAACCCAGGCAGAAAAGTCTGTCAGACTCCATTTCTAAAATAACCAGAAAAACATAGGGCTAGCCTCTGCATTACTATTCTCCTCAGATACCTACAACCTCATTTCCTTCAAATTCTTACTAAGATGCTACTTCTCAACCCAGCCTGCCTCAACTTCCACTACAACTCATCATTATCACCATCTCATGCAAACTCCTCTTACATGGTTCTATAATCCCCAAGGAACCCAAACACAGAAGATCATATCCTGGTATCAAGTAAGTGCTCAATAAGTACTTAGTGAATAAAATAGGGTTTGAGTGCCTTTACGGTAAAAATGTGCACACTGTATGTTAACAAATATATTAAGTAATAAAGAAATGAGAATAAAATGTAAAACCAGTGGCCATATATGAAAAACAGCTATAAAGTTTCCCAACTAGATTCCTGGGTTCTGTATATGGTGTGTGTGTGTGTGTGTGTGTGTGTGTGTGTGTGTGTGTGTGTGTGTGTGTGTGTGTCAATTACAATTGTTTCTGCTCTAGAAGGAGCATTCATATATTGTAATAAAAAGGGCTGTTTTTATGGGTCTTATGGGGTGCTTAGTTACATCTCAGTTTTTTTTGTTTTATTTACTAAAATATACTTACTTCTCTTAGAACTGTAGAATTCTCTGAATATTTCACTTGATACTGAAGTGGAAACGGAACTGAGGTTGAACTGTACCAAGAAATCTTCAAATTACCATCATCTGTGATTTCCATATGTAAACCTACTGGTGGATCAGGCTTCACTTAAGGAAAAAGCAAAATACTTTTAAGTCAAGTAGTCTTCATGGAAGTGAAGTGTTAGTGAGATGAACTCAAAACTCTGTTTTTCAACTACTTAAAAGATAATCTTATTCAAGATTAATTACAAAAACCAAATCAAAGTTCCATGACTGGGACTACACCATGTACTTTGTCATAGCAATCCACCCGTCTTCATCTTCTTCCCCCTAAGTTATAATTGGGATAAGTGTAATTTTCTGTTACAAAAATCTTACTTGGGGATGGGAAAGTGGCTGCGTGGTAGAGTGCTTGCCTTGCATACATGAGGCCCTGGGTTCGATTCCTCAGCATCACATAAGCAGAAAAAGCTAGAAGTGGCACTGTGGCTCAAGTGGTAGAGCACTAGCCTTGAGCTGAGGGACAGCGCCCAGGCCCAGAGTTCAGGCCCCATGACCAACAAAAAATCTTACTTAACTTTATTTAACCCAGTACTTCTCAAATTGACTTGAAGTGTCTCTCTATCCTCACCCACCTCACTTATCTTAGCAGGTATTGAGGAGACAAGACGGCAGACAGTATTTTTTAAATGCGCATCACTGTAAAAACCTTGGCATGACTGTTTGTTTTAAACCACATCAATAGAAAGACACTCAATCCACAAGATGAATATTCCCACGTAATAAACGTATGCTTAACAAACCTTGGCTGTCTCTAGGAATAAAGTTCCATAGCTTAATGAGAAATTTTATGAAATAGATGATTTCTGAATTCAAATGCATATGTTCATGTTTATATGTGTTAAATATTTGGCTATATGCACATGAACATAGTTGAAAATAAAATCTTTAAAATATGTGTAGGAGGGTCTGGGAAGGTGGCTCAGTGGTAGAGTGCTTGCTTTGCATGTATGAGGCCCTGGGTTCAATTCCTCAGCGCCACATATACAGAAAAAGCTAGAAGTAGTGCAGTGGCTCAAGTGATAGAGTGCTAGCTGAAGAGCTAAGGGACAGTGCCCAGGCCCAGAGTTCAGGCCCTACAACCAACCAAAAAAAAAATGTGTGTGTGTGTGTGTGTGTGTGCGCGCGCACACACACGCGTGCGCACGCGCGTAGGAACAATTTAAACACCTTACAATAAAGAATAACTTCAGGGCTGGGAAGGTGGCTCAGAGGTGGAGGCTTGCCTTGAATGCATGAGGCCTTGGGTTCAATTCCTCAGTATCACATAAGCAGAAAACGCTGGAAGTGGTGATATAGCTCAAGTGGTAGAGCCCTTGCCTTGAGCTGAAGAGCTGAGGGAAAGCGTCCAGGGCCAAAGTTCAGGCCCCATGACCGACAACAAACAAACAAACAAACAAACCCCCAAAACGAATAACTTCAATGAATTATGGTTCATACTATACTGGAAATCTAAGTAGCTACTAAAACTCATGTTGCATGTAAATGAATATGATAAATCAAAAGGAATAAAGCTTTTTAAAAAGCAAATAATATTTTTTCAAACAAGAATAAGGAAAATGTATGCTTTCAAATTAAAAGGGTTAATCACATATTTATACTTGTATTCTTGAACTAGCTAAACACTCAAGTCTAGAAGCCAAAAGTAGATCTGACTGAATTCTCAGGATCAAAGTAATACAAAACAGACGCCAAACAGAAGTAAAGTCATAAAATGATAAGCTGTTGTCCATTTCCCTTCTGCGTACCAGTGTGCATTGACAATAGAAAAACAAGGTTTACTATTCTCTTCCAGATTTATTCCCACCACTGTACTTTTAACACCCTCAGAAGACACGGCACTACTGACTCTCCACTTTGCATCCAGGTTCTAATCAAGATACTCTGGATCTTCCTCCTAACCTTATCTCTCATCAGCGCCAGGGCCCTTTCTCTTCCTGAACTCTAAATGGGTCATCTCACACAATCCCCTATGCTAACAACTACCAAATACATATTTCCCCAGATCATTAGACTCCTGGATGGAAGGAACTGCCTACTCAGTAGCTCTGAGGCATCTATCAGGCATCTCAAAGACAATGTGACCCTAATACAGATCCGGCTTTCTGCACGCACATCTACATAGTCCTCTCTGAGTTTTCCAACCTTCATAACTCATAATACCAGTCACTAAGATGCTCAGGTCTAAGTTCTAAAAGTTATTATCCTGGATTCTTCTCTGTCTTTCACAGTCTACAACCGCATCTACTAGAAAGCCCAATCATCATAACTTCCTAAATTCATCCTAGTCTCATCAATTCTGCATTTTTTAAATTTCCTCCAGCCCTAAACCAACTGGCCTATCCTCAAAACCTTCCTTTGGCTCTTCTTTCTGTTCATCCCCTTCCCTTATCAATTTCATGCTCCACCATGTAAATATAAGACATACAAACATGTATCTAATTATATTCTTCTAATTCGAAAGTGGTCATTGCTACTGGAACACTATCCAGATTGGTCTGAGCTATCTCTGGATCCAGGCAAGTCTGCCCTTGTCTTCGGCTATTCCCACGTGTCATCCACTCTAAGGACAATGGCTCTTTCTGTTGTCCCTCAAGTCATCATTCCATTTTTTATGGCATCAAGATTACTCAAGGACTGCACAGTGGTATACCTGATGTGAAAACATGGCATGCAGCTTGGACCCAAGGAGTTTTCTTTTTTCGGCAGTACTAGGGTTTGAAATCAGAGCCTTGCACTTGTCAATCAGGCAATCTACATCTCCTGCCCACCACAGGGACTTTGTGATTGTGTTCTTCCTGCTTGGGACATCTTTTGTCTAAAGTTTTACATAGGTAACACTTCTACATTCAGTTCAAATACTACACTCTAAAAGATATTTTTGACTGATCATCTTACAAGAAATAATTCCTCCCACCTCTAAAAGTTCATCGCATCATCTGTCTTACAATTGGGGGACATTATATGTTTAAATACACTGAAAGGCATTTTCCCCTCAATCTCTACCTACATAGAGACAAAATTCAGAGTCTTCAAGCTAATACAAACTCCACATCAGCGCTCCTTAATTACTCTTATTTTAAAAATAAATTAAATGTGATGCTGGTTTTGAATACTTTTAAAACTTACCAGGTAGAACTAGTTTTAAAAAGAGAATAATATGGTATTTACTACGTGTGTCTTTTCTTCCTACGCAATTGAATCTCTTCAATGTCATTGTAATGATGCTGTATGCTGTAAAGATCACAACTGTATCTCTAGAAAAACAAATCATTTGAAAATCTTAATGATAAAACATACTGTGATGTTCTAAAAGTTCTATATCTCAAGTAACTTAGGAGGAAATGAAGCGTCACTGTAGGTGGAGATGAATCTGGTAAACTGTGATCAAGGATTTAACGGTGGTTTCCAGGGTATCAAAACCATTGACACACAGGTGGATAGAAAAAAGTAAAAGAACAGTGATTCACAAATAGAAGTAGAAACTTTTTTTTTTTTTGGTTAGTTGGGCTTGAACTCTGGGTTGGGCACTGTCCCTGCACTCTTCAGCTCAAGGCGAGCGCTCTACCTCTTGAGCTAAGTGAAGTAAGCCAGGCCCAAAGAAACATAGGTCCCATGGTTTCCCTTATTTGCAATATCAGTATATGTATGAGTCAAGCGGAAAAGGTCAGATAAGTTGATGTTAGGAAAATGAATCCTTAGATATGTATTTTAATGTTTTTTTCTTTCATGCATTTGTTTCTAACGCATTTATAAGATTATCTCTTTGTTTCCTTGTATGTCCCTCCCCCACAGTATAACCCCTGCTTTCACTATATTTGATGTCAGTATAACTTGTGGAGGAGATGGAGAAAAACAAGTCGCTTAAGGATACAGGTGGACCTGTTGCAACAATGAGAAGTACAAGTTGTCATGTCGAAAATGAGCTTTACAACATTGGTGCAGGAGTGGGGGGAGGTTTGGGTGGGGGGGGAGGCTGGGAAGGGATGTGAAGGGTAAACAAAGGAGGAGGCCGTAATGCTTGATAAGAAATGTATGCATTATCCTGCCCATGTAATTGTAACCCCTCTGTACAGTATGTTTACAAAAAATAAATAAATAAATAAAATTTTAAAAAAACAAATAGAAGTAGAAAGCAGTAACGCTGCTGAGTTATATATAATATATAAAATGCAATAGACATGCACCCAAAACTGAGTTAATAAGTTGAATAAGTTGTGTCTGCTCATTACCATTGTCCTTGAAGTGTGAGGCAGTAGCTTTGTGTCCACAGCTCCTCCAGCACTCAGGACAATCTTGGTACTCATGACCTCTGAGAAACAGTTACTGAATGAATCAATTCAGGGAGAAATATGCTTATAATCATATTCAGAAATAGCTATGTGAGCTATAGAAAAACAAAACCAAACAATGTATATCTACTAGATAGATCTGGGATTTAAGTTCTACAGAGACAATTACACAACTGTTAACTCAGTGGAGAAGCTGATTGTAACACACCCTAGTGATTAACTTCACATGATTTACAGCTTTGGTCAATGTGATGTAAGCCTGTAAAAAAAAAATAACTTTAACCTGCGAGCAATCACCCTCTGGTGATTGGTTCTATACTCAGCTGCAACTTACCAACATTGATGGGCTGAACCGACATGAGAGGTGACTGAAAAATTGCTCCACCAGATGTGATTTTCAAATACATAAGAAGAGTAGAGTTGAGTTTGGCTGTGAGGACAGGCACGTGGCATTCCCAGCATCCCTCGGCTCTACAGATGCACTGCACAGCCTGGAAACTGTCTGTCTGGGGAACCACAGGCAGCTCTTCTCTCATTCCATGCCTGTATTTAAAACGAAGAGCTAAATATTAACATGGACATGGATACGTTATGAAAGTAGAACACCAAATCCAAAATTGAGGAAAGCTATTATGGACATCGGCTTAAAAGGTTTCTGGAAAAATGATGTAGACAGAAAACAGAAAAAGTAAGTGTTACAGGAGTGTTTTAGAGTCTTGTAAGCAAGAAGTTACAATACAGAAAAAAAATGGAGATTAGAAGGAAGGAAAACTGCAATCATAAAAATCTCATATCTAGCCCCAAAAGTCTTTAAAAATAAATGTGAAATAAAAGCTTTCCTCAGATATACCAAAATTTAGAGAATTCACCACCACAAGATTTCCACTATGGAATATATTAAAGGAAGTCATCTGGCAAAGTTTCAGAAGGACAAAAGCACCAGGTACCAGTAGCTCACACCTGTAATCCTAGCTACTCAGGAGGCTGAGATCTGAGGATCATGGCTCAAAGCCAGACCATGTAACCACCAAAATGCCAGAAGAGGGGCTGTGGCTAAAGAGGTAGAACACCAGCCTTAAGCAAAAAAAAGCTAAGGGATTAGGGCACTCAAGCCTTAAATTTCAGCCTCTGTACCAGCCTCCGCACACGTGCCCACCCACCCACCCACCCCCACACACAGAACAGACGCCACATGTTTGCTCCCACTTATGGATGCTAGATCTAAAGGATAAACAAATACATAAGCACACACAAGATCATGTCTATATGAAAATATTGTGTTTGTAATTTAGCACTGTTTGAATGGATTAAAGAAGGGAAGGTAGAGAGAATGTTAGAGATAAATGATCTCCACATCTACTACCTATGAATGAAGATAACCCAAAATTAAAAATGGACCTTAGCAACTGTTGAATAACTCATATATTCTGTTGGAAATATAAAATGACACACTTTTGAAAACAGCTTGTTAATTTCTTGTCATTAAATTCCTTACAGAATGAATTGAACCCATTAGATTTCCAAATATTCATCCCAGACTTGAAAACAAGTCAATTCTGGAGAATTATAAAGTTTTATTTGCAATCCCCAAAACGTTACACAATTAAAATATCTATCAACAGGTGAGTGGATAACACGCTGTGGCATATACACATACAATGGCACGAAAAGAAATGAGACACTGATATAGACATTAGTGAATCTCAGAATAAACATGCCAATAAAAAATAACAAGACAAAATATTATATGATTCCATTTAATGAAAATTCCAGAAATGCAAGTAAATCAATGTTTTCAGAAACCAGATTAGTTATCTCCATGAGATTATGAAGGGGCAGAGGAAAATTTGTAACTGATAAATTCATTTTCTTTATGATAGTAATGGTTTTATGACTAATTTTACATCTCAAAACCTATCCATTTTATACTTTAAGTAGGTACAGTTTGTTGTATACCAATCAATTGTATCCCTGTAAAGATATTACTATGTCTCCACTATGTACAAAATAATGGAAATTTTTTGAAATCTCAGAAAAAAATTGAAGCATTGGCTACCATTGTAAACTCCCAAATGAGTAATTTAACACTGAAAATTTTGTAATTAGGTTAGCAGGTTTACCTAATGTGGGGCGTAAAGAATAACAAGAGGCATGCAAGTTCCAGAATATTGTATTTCTGATTCATCAGATTTTTTTTTTAATTCTGCCTACTCCTAAGTTAAGAAGTCTAAGCTTTAATAAGATGTCAAGTGAGCACAGCAGGGAGTAACAGCACTTCCCAGGAGGGTCTCCATGTTGTTTTAGACCTCCACTACCTATGTCAAAATCACTCTGTGCTTTTAAAAACCTTGAGGATACAGAAAGAGAATGACCATGACTACATTTTCAGAAATCCCAACACCTACAGACCTTTCCAATGGAAAAAAAAAACACTGTAAGCACAAGAAATAACATACAGAGTAGAAAAAATTCATTGCTTTATAAACTTTGATAACTGGCATACACATGATCATTTGCATATAAACAAAACACAGAAAAAATGGACCTTAATCTTCCTACTTACAGCCCACTAATGCTGAGTGTTTCCAATTGATGACAAATCTTCAAATTCTCACCATAATAAGAAACAGTCAAAACACAATATTCCTAAAGTTTCATTGTGTGAGGAAGTCTATGAGGTACTGTATAAGGGATATTATGACTGTAAAAATGGTACTGTACTAACATCAAGGCCTAAAGTCAAGTACTTCTGTTTGCTGATCAACCGTAAGACCACAGTTAAGCACTTTCATGTCAGCTTAGTTCCCTTAGGCAGTAAAGCAAAGATAATGCCTATACCAACCATGTTTACAAGGTTGTTTGAGGCTATTCAAGACAATAATTGCATAAAATTATTCTCAGAACAAGTCTGATTTTGTTTGGGGTTTTGGTTTATGGAGGCAGGGTCTGGCTACTTGGTCTTGGCTGGCCTTGAACATTCGATTTCCCTGCCTCAGTGTCCCAAGTACTGGTGAGGTTATACAGGAGCACCATCATCATGCCACGATGGAAAGTTTGTTTGGTTTGGTTTTGGTTTTGGGGTCCAGTTGTGGGCCTGAACTCTGGCCTGGGCGCTGTCCCTCAGCTCTTCAGCTCAAGGCTAGCTCTACCATTTGAGCCACAGCACCACTTCTGCCTTTTTTTTTTTTTTTTTTGCTTATGTGGTGCTGAGGAATCAAACCCAGGCCTCATGCATGCAAGACAAGCACTCTACCACGGAGCCACCTTCCCAGCCCCTATGATGGAAATTTTGTTACTACAAATATTTGGAATTGGAGGCAAAATGACTTACTGTTTTCCATTTTATTTGTAGCTTTAAACAAAGCCAACAAAATGTCATATTTTAAAAATATCAAATGTTAAAATAAAAACAGCCAGGCATTGTTGGCTCATGCTTGAAATCCTGTAGGAGGCTAAGATTTGAGGATCATGGTTCAAAGTCAGCCTGGGCAGGAAAGTCGGTGAGATTTCCTTTTTTTTTTTCTTTTTGCTGGTCCTGGGGGTTTTGAACTCAGGGCCTGGGCGCTGTCCCTGAGCTTTTATGCTCAAGGCTAGCTGTCTACTACTGCAGGCAATGCTCCACTTCTGACTTTTTGTTGCTAACTGAAGATAGGAGTCTCACAAACTTTTCTGTTCATGCTTGCTTTGAACCACAATCATCAGATCTCAGCCTCTTGAGTAGCTAGGGTTATAGGTGTGAGCTATCAGCATCCAGCTTTTTTCAATTTTTTAAAATACGCTTTTTATTGTAAAAATACTGTACAGAGAGGTTACAGTTACATGAGCAAGGTAATGAGTACATTTCCTATCAAGCATTGGCACCTCCTTCCTTGTTTTTCCCCTCCTCTCCCTTCCCTCCCACCTCCACAATTATACTCTCCCCCTCCCTCTTCTCTCCCTCCCCACCTAAATTGTAAAGTTCACTATGTTTTTCAACATAGTGTCTTGTACATCTCATTGTTAAAATGGGTCAACCTGTATCCCTAGTTAAGCATTTCATTTTTTTCCTTTCCCTCCCCAAATTAGAGAAGTGTATATACAAGATGCAGGGCACCGACATCAAATACAGTGAAAACAGGGGCTATACCGTGGGGGAGGAACATACAAAGGAACAAAAAAATCACATGGTACATTACAAATATGTTAGGAACAATAGCAAGAAAGAAAAAACCAGTTGTGTCCCAATCTTGGAGTTCATTTCACTTCACATCATCTTATCTGGTCATATGTACATAGCTTTTGACCTTTTCTGCTTGTCCCAGACATATACTAGTTATTGCAAATAAGGGAAACCATGGGACCTATGTTTCTTTGGGTCTGGCTTACTTCACTTAATGTAATTTTTTCCAAGTCTTTCCATTTCCTAGCCTAGGTCTCCTAGGCACAGGCCGAAATTTTCTCAATAGAGACCCAGAAACAAAACAAATCAAAGAAAGTTGGACAAATGGGATTGCATGAAGCTGCAGAGCTTCTGCATGGCAAAGGACATAGCTAGCAAGATCAATAGAAAGCTTTTTTCAATTTTTAAGTTAATTTTTACTTTTATCAATGGATTCACATGTATGGTTTAAATGAATCAAATAATTGTTCAAGGCAAATACCATTCAATCATTATCACTCATTCCTTTCATTTTTATCTCCATTTCCTTCCAATTGCATGCTGTAAGACTAGTTAATTTTTACTTTCAGAAATATGATTTCGCTTCCTATAATGTGATTTAAAGATTTAGCTCTTTTGCCCTCTGCTCCACTAAATCCAAGCATACTTTGTTTCCCTGTTGGCACAAAATATCTGAATTTTAATTATGATTCAAACAGCTTTCAATATCTGTACTGTAATGATTATGTATCTCCAATTCATTACCAAAAAGCCAGAAGTGGTTCTGTGGTTCAAATAGCTAAGCAGTCACCTTGAGAAAAACAAAAAAGCTCATGAACAGCACCACAGCACCTAATCCCTGAGTTTAAGCCAAGGATTGGCATAAAAATGAAAACATACATGCATACATATGTACACACTGTTACAAAAAAGAATGTGAAAAACTGACAGTGTGGTATTTTAAGTCCAAAACAGGCTTGCCAGGTATCTTGCTTTGATTGAAGAAATCATATAATTTGAGACAAAAATATAATGGAACACAGGCTAAGACATATTTTCCACTAATATTTGCAAATAATAAGAAATTTAGTCAATTTTATTCCTTTTAAAGCATACAAAAAATTCTGAATCATATTTGTAGAAAATACCTGATTACCAATTAGATTAACTTGGATAATTAGATAATTCTGTCACTTCACTGTTGGGTCTGTTCACTCAATCTCATTTCCATTTTGTTAGCAATTATTTTAGTAGTTGCATAAATCATATACGAGACTATATATCCTTAATGATGAAAATACATTAAATAAATATACTACAAAATATTTATTATACCAATTCATATTCTTTTGAAGAAAAGCAGCTCCTTGCAGAAATTTCCCTAACCACTCTAAGAGAAAACACC